ATGTTTGAAGCCTGAAATGTGGCAAAAGGTTGAAAAGTTCAAGGGGGCCGAATACTTTCGCAAGGCACTGTATATACTATAATTTAAATACCAGTATGGTAATATACTGTATATACACATTATGTGCCTATCAAGCATCAAAATAAACCATTTGTTCATATAATTGTTTATAAAATGGTATACTGAAATTGTATATTGATTAAATGATTTTGATCACATTTTGATTAACTGCTTGTGAAAGACTGTGATACATTCAATTGACTGTGTTCAGTAAGATAGTCACTCGATTAGTGAGAGCTGATTCAGCACAGGTAATGAAGTGATTAAAGCTGTTCAATTTAAAACTTTATGAAAATAAAGAGTGAAAACATTAAGGAAGCAATATGGTTCACTCTAGAGAACAGTGCCTTTGTGCTCTTGATATTTGTTTCAACACATTTGCATGGACTCCTTACAGTCCTTTTTTAACCACAAATAAAGATTTTGTACAGTATAGACCACCATGGTGGACAGGACCAACGGACCAATCAGTGGGAAGGTTTGGACAGGATCTACTACTGAACTCCATTCATAATAATTGATATAAATCTGACTACATGGTACTACTGTACATCAAACAAGTCCTGGGACCTCACTCACTGCCCCTCATGTCCATATATTTTGAGTTCCTAAAGAACAAGAAGACTCTCATCAATTATTAGTTGATAATATTTCTACAGGGGTAGAAATATTATTTGTAGTTCAGGTGGGTAGCTGCGTCAGCATGCGTAGTCTGCAAAGGAACAAGTAAAAGGTTTATTCCATGCTGTAAAGAGAAGAGTTGGAACAGGGACACAAACGTCAGAGGAGCAAGCTAAAGGTTAAGTCCACACTAAAGATTTGACCACATTGCTGTAAAACCTTCTTTAGATGTCTGGAATTGTTATGTGTTATTAGTTGTTAGTGCAGAAATAGCCTGTCCTTGGTAATGTGAAAACTTTAAAAGAAGTTGAAAGACAGATACAAAGGTAAACTCAGCCTCCTATATGACTTTTCCTATAAAGGATACCTTATTAATATATTAAATATGAAAGTTATTTCTATTTGCAACTGCTTTCCCTGAACTGATAAATTAGGTAAAGTGATATTTTTTATTTTCTCAAAGATCATACACATCTGGCATCTCATACACTCTCATACTGTAATTCATTACCTACCAAACAAACAGTATAACAGTAACATTGATAAAAAGTCAGATAGTAAATAAAGACTGATTCTCAAGGTTTTGGAAATGTAGAAAGAGTTTTGTACAGCACAATATACAGTATAATCCACTGTTCAATACAAGAAAAAATAAGCACCATCTTGTCTCTATTTATTCTGAGGAATTTTTCAAGATACTGCAGTATGTTTTATTGTTTGTTCAACAGCAAAACCTTATTCCTACAAATTAACCTTTAAGTCTCCGACATAACATCTCACTTCACACTTGCAGTGTGATTTAGGAAATTTAATTTAACGGTTCAGCAAGTTATACTGTTCTTTTTGGAATTACCAACCTATTAAATTAAGAGAAATAAGACACAGGGGGTGGAAAATGGTGCAGTTTATAGTCTGCCCCACTTACTTCTGAAAGGAAGGGCCCCCCATCTAATATTGTAATTGCTTTCCTGTGCAGACTGCTCCCCCTGCCAGTCCCCATCAGTACTGCAGTTTTTTTGTTGTGTATCCCACATCATAACCCCAGCCACATTTTCACCTTTTAAGTTGTCTGTTATATAAAACAAATCTAAAGGAGATGATTGGATGGACAGCTTGAAATGATCATTTTTCTGTGTGAAACGCTCCCTATCAGAGATAAATGGCTCCTGACATTATGAGAAACTTTCATCCTTCACTTAAACTTTTCATGTTTACAATATATCTTACAGTATCTAACTGAAATGAAACTTGATGGGTGTAGTTACTCAAACTGGCAGAGTATTGGCATTAAAAAGAAAGTAAATTATATTTTTGTACTGATAAATTTACCATAGTATACTGTTATTTTTGTTATATTACTCAACACTATACACAATCTTTCCGAGCTTTTGTATTTATTATATTTCAGTTCTTATTTTAAATTTAGTAACATTTTGTATATAGGCAAAGTTAAATTCCTAAACACATTCTGCATAGCCGATATTAATCATTGATTAATATCTATAATTGTGATGTCATCACATCAATTTACCTTTTGTGATGTCATCAGAACCCCCTGACATCAAAGGTCCAATCTTTCAAAAGCACAAGCTAAGTGATAAACTGGACATTAGTGTCTGACTATTGCAGTGAGAAGATACAGGCAGTGAACCCTTTACTAGCAGCTTTTAGGCTCTTAATGGAGGGGACAGTTTGCTAATGAAAAGAGGGTCCCAATCTCTGCAGAGCTCTACTTAGTGACCACAGAGGCTGAACTGTTGATCAGGCAGAAGGAGGAGCTGTGGAGGCTGAGGAAGGACAGACAGGAGACTGGGAAGCTCACAGAGAAGGACACTTTGGTAAGATTGGCAGGGTCTGCTCTTGCTAACTGTTATAATAACCAAGAGACTTTAAATATGAAAGCTGAAGATACAAAAAAAACCTTCTTAAATGATGACATGACAAAACAAACTGACAGCTCTAAACCATTATGGTGGTCAAACAATTACTTTCAGTTTGAAAGGTGCGACAATAAGCGATTCACAAATTGCTCTGCAATTTTATCATAATTAAAGGAAGCAGGTCAAAAAGCATTTTGAAAAGAACATCTGTCTACTCCCTACACCAATAAAATTAGCACTTTTACTCTATTCCCACAGGCTTGCAGTAATCAAAACATTTGATCTTCAAACAAAAACAGTAATCTCTGTGTAAAAATTGTGCTTTACTATTTAATGAATTCAATATCCTACCTTTGCTGTCATCCTAAAGCACTGTGCTGAATGATTTTTGACCTCTGAATCCCCAGTTTCTGTTAGTGCAGCCCAGGGGAAGAGCTCTGAGAGCTGGGCCCAGATGATCAGGACCCTGGACCCCTTGTCCACAGAGACAGTGAGGGCAGGCTGCCGTCTGTGTGTGGAGTACAGTGGGCTCCTTCACCTCCTGTGCTGTGTCCTGGTCTGGATCAAGAGGTTTCTCACACAGAAACAGGTCAGAGTGCATGTGGTCAAACGGGTGTAACTGTACCTTGTTGTTTGGAACAACAAACATTAAAGACACACAGCATGGACCATATAACATTGCTAATACAGCCCAGAAACCATACAGCTGTGATTCATAACTACCGGATCACAACTCTGGTAGCTGTATATTCCTTTGCTGTTTTAATCACTGTGACCTTGTCCTGGAAAAAGTGTTTAGAAAATGGATGGATGGACTCTTAATATTTTATTTAGAGAATGTAGTCCTGATCTATGTGTAATTAATTCACACAAGGAACTGTTAACATAACTAATTTCCATCATGATATGTACAATAGTTTGGAATCTGTTTCAGTTTCCAACTAGTTTAATCTTACCATAGCGAAACCTATATGAAATTTTAAAATTTCCATTTGGCAGATAGAAAAAACTTAAAGTGCAACTAATTACATACCAAACAGTACTTTTAAACTAATCTCTAAAACACTTTAATCTCCTTTGAGTCCTGATAGTAAGCAAAAGGTTAATCACGAAGGTAAAAGATCAGTGGATGCTATACTGAGCAACACTGTTTGATTGGAGCTGTGAAGCCATTTCTTTTCTCAGGGTGGCTGTGTTCCAGTAGCCCAGAGTTGGCCCTGCCCGGGCTGTCTGTAGTAAGAAGAGAGGGAGAGATAGAGAGCTACTACTGGACAACAGAGCCCCACAATTCACACCCAGCTCACATACCACACCAAGAAGATGAGGAGCAGGGGGGAAGGGAACATCAGACTGTCAGTATCTAGGACAGAACACCAGGGGGCACTGTGTATGATTAATTCCCTATTCGAGAACACCTGCGCTTCTGAATTAACGACAGTACTTTAAATAATGCTTTTAAGAAGGTGCATTCACTATATAATTCATTTTCTCCATTGAACACTTTATTTAAATGCATTCATTTTATGCATTTATTCATATTGAAATAGACCCAGAGAGTCTATATCCATTCAATTGTGAGATGCTATTAACTTGCTGTTACTAGCAGCATATGACAGATGCTATGAACTTGCTGTAAATGCACTTCCTCTTTAACAGAGACACAGCCAATCTGACTTAAAAGCATGAGGTGAGGTCACAAATTCCAGGCCCTTGTGGGAAATGCAGGAATCCTCACAATCATTTGACTGTTATTTAGACTATTAAAGCATCCATTAAACATGCAGCCTGCTGTTTCCATATAAATGTGGTGTAAGTTATGTTCAATAACAATGTAAGATTCAACTTAAAACCTTTGTGTCACCTTTAGGACTTTGTGATCACTAGCAAGTATAATTCCTTTTTCCTGGTTGTGCCCAAAGGCAGGTGCCTTCCTAGGGGCTGGGAATTACTGTATAATCAATAATCCTAGGATTCCTGGAAAGCCAAAGTCAACACAAAGCTGATATACTTCAAGCACTCTTAAGACCTACTGTTCCTCTATACACTACAGTATATACAATAAATGCCTTTTCAAAGCTAAACTTGAGGTAAGATTTGTGCAGGTTGTGTTCTGCTAATTCTCTTTACACCTGGATCCTCTTTTCAGCATTTTAGTTTTATGATCTCATATTAAACGATGAGCAAAATATAATATGTATAAAATACATCAAGATTACTCATACACATTCAGAGAAGCCAGGGAACCACTGATTTAAAATAAGGAATCCCAAAGTCAGAACCTGCTGCACAACCATTAACTTTGACTTTCTGCATGGCTGTAAATTCTGCTGGGAAATGAGCTAGGCTGCATTTACTTTTGAAATGCACTACATGGATTCCAGGGTTAAAATCTGGTTCCAAAATTTTACCTTGATAATTTTATTGCATCTCCACTGGCACATTTTTTTTCTTCTGTGCATAAGTATGTTTAAGGCATAGCCTTAAATACCCTTCAAGTCATAACAATTAGTTACAGCAGAACATGAGCCGATCCATTATGTGCAGGTACAATCCCTGCAGTCTATAGTTACTTACATCTTTCAGGCACTTTTGCTCCAAGTGAAAAGGCAGCTCATAGAAAATATCATTCTTCTTTGTAAGCAATGTGTACCTCCAGGTCAAGACAAAGAACAAATGTATAGAAAAGGAATCTGTTTATTACAATGCTAGATGAGTTTGTTACAAGTACTGTATTTATTTGTATTACAGGCCATCAATATGTTTTGGCTGTGCCACCATTAATCCTTGTTGATAAACCTATTGTCATTTTTCGTCTGACTGCTTTTAGCACTTTGATCCTAATAAATTAATTGTGAAATTATAGGTCAACATCAAACAGTTTACAGCTTAATTTAATGTCTTTTCTTTAGATTGCAATCTGGTTTCTCTGGATTCTTCCAATGAGTCATTAAGCATACAAAAGATATTGTCGGGTAAAGCCAGTTTTGTTTTGATGGAAAATGTATATAGTCTTTCCAAAATAAATCTTGTTTTTGTAAGCCTTATTGGAGATACGAGAATTATGTTCCAAACTCTCTTAAAAAGGAACTAAAAGCTAGCCAAAGTCAATGTAGAGAGGGGAGAGGGAATAAAAATAAATCTTTGGATCACCAGGATATTCCTTTTTATGAATTAGCTTAACATGAAAACAAAAAACAGAATTTTGCACTGTAATTTAACCATACAAAAAAAATAATTGTTAGTATCTGGTTCATTTAATAGAAAAGAAAACATTCCCCCCAAATTCTTATCATTTTACTTGAAACATTTAACCATTTTAACCATTAGACCATTAACTTTAGATAAAAATAAAATATGTATTTAAAACGAATAACTTAATTAAGCTATTTTGACCAAAAAGAGAAAAGGATTTATTTCGTTCTGATCTCATTAATACCCCCAGACAATGTGTTGCATTCAAATAAAAACTTTACGTATGTTTTAGATACAAGTCTAATAGACTTTCCAATAAAAAAAACTTAATTGAAAATTCTAATTGATAATTTGCCCTAAGGAACATAATTAATTAAATAAATGTGAGTTAATATTGAAAATATGAATTCATCACCACTCTTCTTTTAATTCCCATAATCATTTAATGAATTAATGACTACTTCTTGGCCCAAGACTTTTCAGAGTCATTAACCATTTGAGATTCTTGGTATTTTCTCTTCTATGAATGTTTTTGCAAATGGGGAAAAATGTTTTGTATTTGTGTCTTATTTTATACAACTTCTAACACTATACCAAATGGCTAATCTGTCCAGTCCTTGACATACATTAAGCCTTTTATCTGAAACCTTCAGCAGTACATTTGCCAGACACTGTTCTTGTCTACAGTCTTTCAGAAGCTTCCACAAAGCCCAAATTGTCTGACATGGTTTTCTGGGTGTGAATCTGCATTGTGAGTTTTGACAGTTCTGGCTCATGGTTATACAAAGTGTTTCTTAATCATTCTCAGTGCTCTAAAAGCCTTATTACTGAGAGTAATTTGGCGCACCTGCTTTTCATGAAAACCTACACTTGTGTAACAGCTGCAGTTTTGCAGAGGTTCTGCAGTGCTGTGCACCTGTAGTGCCTTGTCTGAGTTGTAAGACCTGATTTCCCCAGTTTAAAATGCATGAACAGTGGTCATCATCACAGCTTCAAACAGGATTCCATTCAGAATTTTTTCTTCCTATGATTCATTATTGATTCATTATTGATTATTGATTATTCATTATTCATTATTGATCCAGTCTTTTGTGGGAGGATAACTTTCTTCAAACCTGCATGGTGCATTCCTTCTCTTTGTTCCCAATATAATGTAACTGAATTTCCCTTATTTTAAGGTAACACTTGTCATCAGTACTGATAAAATTCAGTCTTTGTGATGTACAAAATTGTGTGTTTGAATCTGATCATTTACAGTAAATGGAGCCACACTGAACAATGTACTACTTTGTTTTCCTGACTTACAATTTGTGCAACAGTTCAGGCTTCCAAAATATACAAAAGCTTCAGCTGTAAGAGAAAGTGTAAATCCTAAGCTTTAAAAAATAGCTCTATGCTTGAAGATGATTTACTGTAGGGCTGTACAGTGCTCTGAATGTGCCAGAGGCCTGTCTGTAAGGTGACCTTTTCTTTCCTCTCCCTCTCTATGTTGTAGAGAAAAGCCTAGTGGAGTTGATGTGCAAGCTGGAGACTTGTGAAGTGAGAAAATGCAAATGCGTTAGCAGGCAAGGCTGGGACCAATGCATCAATATATTCTAATAGCAGTGCCCCACATTGCCAGGGCTGCTAGAAATGGACAATTACAGTCAGTGATCAGCATTACAATCATCTGAGATTAGTCCTTTTGGATAAGCCATTTAATTCTGATTGTGTGAGATGAAATCTGCCACAGAGTGCCAAATCAATTTGTATTGTAGTGTTTGTGTAAACATCCCCATTTTCTATAATGTAACAAGGAAGTGTAGTTTAAAGAAAAAATGAAATATTACTATTATTAATGGGGTATGCTTTAAATTTATATTGAATAAGAAATGTATTCCTATATTCTTTAGCAGTCATTCAAAAAAAATGACAATCCAAGAAGCCACACAGAAGAGTTTAAAAAGTCAGGTCCTCAAAGTCTGAAGGGTTTTCTGGATTTCTTTCCACTGAAATCTCTAAACCAAGCAGGAGTTGGCCTAGAGATCTACAGTATAATAACAAGGCTCAGAATTTAAAACCTTTTCCTGTTTAGCAAACAGCAAGGAAGAGACTTTAGAAAAATGTTTTTTTTGTAAAACAAAATATTGCATATACAGAGCATAGGAACAAGTAATAGCTTTATTCCATGCTGAAAACCGAAGAATGGAAACCCAGTGTTTTGGCTGTGGCACCTTCTTTGGGTGTACAGTAAGCTTAAAGTTGGGTTTATTTTGGGAGGGGCAATGGAACAGACAAACCAGTGTTTCTCATCACAGTGCACATCCACACAAAATCTGAGCTGTTTCGGGGAAAAAAAAAACTGAGCAAATGAAGAAAGAGAAAGAGAACTATTAAGGAACGTGTGTTAATTGAAATCCTATGTGAAAACCCAAAGGTATTTAAGAAATCCTAAATATCATCATGCTGGCAATGAAGCATGGAGGTCACACCTATTGCAAAAATGATTAATATGGCATCCAGTACAAATATGCACTGGGAAAGAATTTGGAGTAAATCAACAAACTTCTTACATTGTGAGGGGATGTCTTTCAAGCTGGGATTACTATAAATGGAGGTAATTGTGATGAAGAGAATTTGAATTCATTCTGATTTGCAGTTACAGTATTTCAGGAAGATCTCCCAGTAGAATCATACTTCGACAGTTTATCTGTAGATCAGGGCAGAGATGAAAGTCTCGCACAGGTGGTTCAGAAAAGACACTTTTACATACTGTACATGGTTAATTTTTAGGCCTTTGTAGTTTAAACTGCAGGAAACAAATTCAAAGACTTGGAGTAAGTCAAAGTAGTTGCTACGTTGTGTATATTATTCACTTTTAAGTTGGTCTTCTCTGTAGAAATTGCTTGAACTGAGCGTTGGAGCTAAATTTACTGAAGCAGTAAGAAAGGATGATTGGTTCTACCTCTGCCACAGGGAACAAGCTATTTCAATTACTTACAGTATATTACAATGTGCTTCACAACACTTTTTTCTGAAGATGAACTGAGATTAATTTAAAAAAATGTGTATCTATTTGCATGTGCTGGCTGCTTTAATGGTAGTACAAGATATTGCTATGGAAAATTCTTTTTTTTTTCTTTAAGATTGTGTGCCAAGGGATAATGTGTCCAAATCTTGGGGAAAAATAACACAATTTCCTTTTAAAAAATGTGTTGATATTTTTAATGCTGTAGATAGAAAACTGATACCAAAGAGTTGGGGTCTGATAATGGCAAAACAAAAA